CCGTGCAGCGGGGGGGCAGCCAGTCCCCCCCTTCCCTGCCCTCCTCATGCACCGGGGCACGGCAGGTCCCCCCCACGCTCCCCCGTGCAGCAGGACACGGCCGCTCCCCCGCCCCGGGGCATTATCATCTCCCAGACTCGGCGTCTCGCTGCCTCTCCCCGGCCGGGACTCACCGAGCATCGGCAGCAGCAGTAGCAGCAGCGTCCGCCGCCTGAGCGCCATGATGGGATGTGCAGAGCCCCTGCTGGCTGCCGGCGCCGGAGATTGCGCACTCCCGGTCTGGACGGGTCCCAGCACGGGAGGCGGGGGGGGGTTGAAGAGGAGGGGAGGGAAGGATGCTGCTCAGGCCTCGGCTACCAGGGCAACGGTATCTAGGAGACAGGGGATGCCGGAGCTTCGTTGTCGGGGCAACGGTATCCAGGACACAAGTCGGTTGGAGCCTGGGTATCCGGGGAACTCCATCTAGGTTACAAGAGATGCTGGAACTTGCTTACCATGGCAACACAATAATAGAACATAACAGCCATACTGGTCAGACCAAAGGTCTGTCTAGTCCAGTAGCCTGTCCTCCGACAGTGGCTGATGCCAGGTGCTTCAGAGGGAATGAACGGACCAGGTAGTGCCAGGTGCCCCAGAGGGAATGAGCAGAACAGGTAATCATCAAGTGATCCATTCCCTGTCGCCCATTCCCAGCTTCTGGCAAACAGAGGCTAGGGACACCATCCCTGCCCATCCTGGCTAATAGCCATTGATGGACCTACCCTCCATAAATTTAGTTTTTTTTTGAATCCTGTTAGAGTCTTGGCCTTCAAAGCATCCTCTGGCAAGGAAGGATAGGCTCCCAACAGGTTCCCCAAGTCTTAATAAATCTAAACTCCTCCTCACTACACCATCGTCTCATCCACGCTTTGAGACTCTGCAGCTCTGCCAGTCTAACTGGCCCTGCATGTGGAACTGGAAGCATTTCAGAGAATGCTACCATGGAGGTCCTGGACTTCAGTCTCTTACCTAGCAGCCTAAATTTGGCCTCCAGGACCTCTCTCCTATCCTTCCCTATGTCATTGGTATCTACATGTACCACGGCCACTGTCTCCTCCCCACCACTACACATAAGTCTGTCTAGATGACTCGAGAGATCCTCGCAATGGGATTTCCCTATACCTCCCCTAGGGAGGGTTTACACACACACACCCATGAATTTCGCCATCTCCCCCCACATACACAGACACACACACCTCCCAGTGGTCAACTAGTTACATTTTGCCACATCAGTTATGAAAGTAAAACATTTGCTTGAGCCACAGCACCTAATTGCTTGAGACCTCTTTCATTACAAATTAAGCACTGGTCACCCTCAACTGAACTGCAGTTGCTAAGCAGGGGATTTGGATGCCAGATCCCTTTGGGGAGAGAGAGAGAGAAGAGACATGTGTTTTGCTTGGTGGTGTGGGCTCTGTGTAAGAGTCACAGGCACTATTTGACCTGCCCCTCTCCCCATATAAAGGTAGACCTGATTAGGCTCCATAGAGAGTCTTTTGTTAAGTGACCATTAGAGCTGAAATCACTGATAATCAGGTCTAAGTGCTGAGACCTGCTGTGGGACAATGTTTCTGTGGAAGAGACCATCCAGCCTTGAACTAGCAGTGAGGTTCCCCCGCTGAGAGCGGAAATCATTGAGACCTGGGTGGAACCTCAAGCAGGGCCAGCCTTAGAGAAAATGGTACCCTGGGCAAACTTGTATTTTGACACCCCTGAACCTGTCAGTTCAGTGCCCCCCCTTGCTCCTGTGGGTGCCCCCAATTGTCTCTGGCCCCTGTGGGCTCCCCACTCCCCCTTTGCCCCTAACACCTGTACCCCTCCTCCTGCACCCCTAATCCCTGCACTGTGCCCCCTTCATCCCTAATCCCTGCATCCCCTCCTGCACCCACATAGGGAAACTGAGATGGATGCATGGAGCAGCTGGCATTACTGCTCACTCCTCCTCCTCTCAAATGCTGCTCCTTCATGCACCTGTCGGGAGCTGGGGGGGGAAAGGAGCAATGTCAGGGCTCCCTGCATCCAGGTCACTTTCCCCACCCAGGCTGCGTAAGGGGAGGGCAGGTAGCAGGGAGAAATCTGGGCATCCCCCCCCCCCCATACACACACAGCACTCCCCTGCCAGCTGGGAACAGTTTCTCACTACATCGGTAGCGCACACCTCTGCACTGCTGTGCAGCGTCCTCTTGGCCACCAGCACCTCTAGGCAGTTGCCCGGGTGGCCCACCCCCAAGGCCAGCCCTGCCCCAAGACAGCAACTTGCAGAGGTCACGGTGGCAGATGGCAGCAAAAGTTGATGGCGCAGGACCATCGGTGAGGGAGTGGTGGAGTGAACGGTGGCACGACGAACAACAGTGGCCAGAGTGAGTGGCAAACAGCTGGAGAAACCAGTGAAGTGCCTTCTCCCCCCCATACCCAAGCATGGGAGGTTAAATCACATGAAAGCACCTCTGTACCCGCTGACCAAGGACAAGAACTGTGAGTGGGGTGTGGTGTAGGGAGGAGGGAGGGGCATATTAAAGGAACATTTGTTTGTTGGACTGTGTTTTAGTGACTTTGCTCCAGAATGCTAGATTTGTGACTGGGAAACATACAGAAATATGTAGGCCAAGATTATTTGCCAAGGTCCATTATCTCACATCCTTACTATCTCGAGAGGTCGTTACCTTGGGGAGTTCCTGTACAGTACTAAACATTTTTATTATTATAATTATTTTTTACATATGAATGGCCATACTGGTAAGACCAAAGGTCCATCTAGTCCAGTATCCTGTCTTCTGACAGAGGCCAATGCCAGGTGCCCCAGAGGGAATGAACAGAACAGGTAATCATCAAGTGATCCATCCCCTGTCGTCCATTCCCAGCTTCTGGCAAACAGAGGCTAGGGATGCTCAGAGCATGGTATTGCATCCCTGCCCATCCCGGCTAATAGCCATTGATGAATGACCTATCCTCCATGAACGTACCTAGTTCTTTTTTGAACCCTGCTATAGTCTTGGCCTTCACAGCATCCTCTGGCAAGGAGTTCCACAGATCAACTGAGCATTGTGTGAAAATGTACTTCCTTTTGTTTGTTTTAAACTTGCTGCCTATTAATTTCATTGGGTGACCCCTGGTTCTTGTGTTAAGGGAAGGGGTAAATAACATTTCCTTATTCACTTTCTCAACATCAGACAAGATTTAATAGACCTCTGTCATATCCCCTCTTAGTCATCTCTTTTCCAAGCTGAAAAGTCCCAGTCTTTTTAATCTCTCCTCAGATGGAAACTGGTCCATACCCCTAATCATTTTAGTTCTCTGTACCTTTTCCAATTTCACTTTATCTTTTTTGAGATGGGGCCACCAGAACTGCATGCAGTATTCAAGATGTGAGCATATCATGGATTTATATAGTAAAAGAGGAGGAGCTTGGTTTGCCAAACCAATCAGCAAAACCTATACTGACAACCTACATGAAAAGGCTTCAAAGCACCACGCCTCTGGATTGCATGGACATGCAGAAAGCCTTACAAGCCAGTGACTGTCAAGGCCAATTTTAGAAGTACATAATGAGGCTGTTAAGAATGCTGGAGGCACAACACAATGTATGCAAACAAACATGGCTGTCGCATCATACTTTCTATTTAAGCAAGAGATACCACACTCTACAAACTGGAGGCCAATGTTAAGTGCATTGTCTCTTGTAAATCCTGAAGTTGGACACTGGTTCTGAACAAGACAGGCAAATGCTCACTATTTTTCTGCAAAAAACTCAAATGACTGGTTAGAAGCATGTGGTGCAATGGTGAAAGACTCAGCAGTTGAAAAAGCGAAGATCTCTCTTACTACATGCAGTAAGATGTCCCTCCTGTTTGATTTTGTTATATTTTGGAACTTGGAGACCCTGGAGGGCTGAGGACCCTGTTGGAGGTGGCTGCTAACCATTGGAGACCCACAGAGAAGCTGAGGCAGGGTGAGCAGTCCCATGGTGTGCTGCCAGGGGGTGCTGTGGAGACTGCCACATCAGGGTCCCTCATTCTGCAGTCAGGCAAGCTGCACTTTGCTGTGGAATTGTGCCACGAGAATTTGTTAACTATTTCACAACTGATTGTTTAGAAGAAACACTCAGCAGATGTGTTTATCCCACAATCCCAAACTGCCAATAACCTTAGATGCCCAAACCACCAGCCTCCTCCTACTCCCCCCACAACTGTGTCTGTGATGCAGTTATGTGTAATCAATAGAGAAACCCCAAACTTCTGCCACGTTTGCTTAGACTGTGAGCTCTTGGGACCTGGGATCATCCATTTGTTCTGTGTTTGCACAATGGGGCCCTGGAGCTGTTGCTATTCAAATAATAGCCTTGGTGCAGTGCTAGTTGCTGTATGCATTTCCATACTTATCTCCTCTGGAAAAGAAAAAAAAACCCTTTTATACAAAAATGAAATGAAGATACTGCCAAATTTCCAGCCCGACACACCAGGGACCCAGCCCCAGAGCCATGCTGCACCTGTTGTGTGCGTAACCAGACATCTCCGTCTCCAGGGCTGTCCGCTTGGCACCTTTCGCCGGCATTAGAGTCACTACAGATTGTTTTTAAAGATCTTCTAGTTGTGACAAGTTTCTGTTCTGCAACCCATTTCTGGGGCTGATGTCCTGTCAGACGATCTCAGAGGCTGGGAGCTTTGTGTAGGCTCATCACATTGCCCGGTGGATAGAACACCAGCCCTGAGGTTAGACCATTTCATTTGAGACGATGGGAAATTCCTCTTAAAACAACAGGAGGCTTGTGGCAATGCTGTTCAGTCAAGAGACAAATTTCAACAGACAGACTGGTGTTGGAAGGCCTGGATCCTTTCCCGGGCTCATCCACTCTTGCGTGCCTAATTGGTGACACAGTCAAATCATCAGGGAGTGATGGTATCTCGCTCAACCGTATTAGGAATAGCCCATTGAGCAGCACTCTGCACTCCCAGCTGAGAGGGAATCCATTGCACTTGGGCATGGCTTTTACCCCACATTGGGCCAAATCACATGGCCCTTCCTACTCGGTTCTTCATCACTGAAGCCGATGGACTGTACCGGAACTTCTGGATCGCACCCACTGTGAGGCTATTTGAAAGCAAAATACCACCTTCCATTGGTGAGTTTCCTGGATAACTTTTGGCCTCTGCACCTTTCATAGCACCTTTCATCTGAGCATCTCAGAGAACTTCACTGTTGTTGGC